TGATATGCACAAGACCAGACATTGCACAAGCAGTGGGAGTGGTTAGTCGGTACATGGCGAATCCAGGCAAAGAGCATTGGAATACAGTGAAGAGGATCCTGAGATACATCAAATGAACCTCAAATGTTGCATTATGTTATGGAGGATCAAACTTACTAATAAATGGTTATGTAGATTCTGACTATGCAGGGGATTTGGATAAAAGCAAATCTACTACAGGATATGTGTTCAAAGTTGCTGGTGGAGCTGTAAGCTGGGTTTCAAAATTGCAGTCAGTTGTGGCTACGTCCACAACAGAGGCAGAATATGTAGCAGCTACACAAGCCAGTAAAGAAGCAATTTGGTTGAAAATATTATTGGAGGAGCTTGGGCACAATCAAGAGTATGTCTCTTTGTTTTGTGACAGTCAAAGCGCCTTGCATCTAGCAAGGAATCCACCATTTCATTCAAGGACAAAGCACATACGAGTTCAGTACCATTTCATTCGTGAAAAGGTGGAAGAAGGAACGGTAGATATGCAGAAGATCAATACCAAAGACAACATAGCAGATTTCATGACGAAGGCAATCAATACTGATAAATTTAACTGGTGTCGATCCTCTTGTGGTCTGTCAGAAACGTAAGCAACATGATGGTATAAGGTAGAAAGAATGGTGTGAAGATATGATTGTTTCAATCAAATCTTCAAGTGAGAGATTGTTGAAAGTCAAAAATGAATTTAGCATGTGGGCGGCTAATATGGGGTGGCTAATATTAGTCTAAAATGGCTGCAAATTGTTGAAAATTAGCAAGGTTAAAATACCCAATTTAGTCACTTTAATTTTAGGTTATTTACAAGATTAGTCCTTAGGTTTCAACTATAAATACCCTAGCTCATTTAGCTTCAAAACCATCCCAAAGCATTCTAGCTTTCTTCCAATACTAGAGAATTTAGAGAGTTTCTTGAGAGTTGTTTTCCTCATTTTTTTATCAAGAGAGAATTATCATTGTTTTCTCCTTGGTAGATCGAGAGAGGTTGTAATTCCTATTTTCTCATAGTGAAATTCTTCTACCGTTGCCTGTGGTTTTTACCCTAAATTTTAGGGGTTTTCCACGTAAATTTTGTGTCTCTTTTATCTTCATTTTTATTTTCTCAAATTATCAATTGCGATTTTGCTCTATCCGATAGCCGTCTTCCGCAACATTTTCTTGTTATCGCAATTCAATAGTGAACAAAACAAAAGGAACGCATAACTGGAGAAGAGAGCAGAGTAGTGGTAATGGTACCTGGCCAACCTCCGCCCAAATGCATTGTTTCCATCGATAGGATTGGAAGAACCATGAAAACCAAAAACATTCCAACCACCCAGGCGATATTGAATCGAAGAAATTCCACTTTTAAATTCCTTCTTTTTCATTCAAAAAAAAAGTAAAGTGATACTTAAAAGGAGAAACTGAAGATGAAGAAGTTGAAATGCATAGTTCCGATCCACAACGCGCAAGCTAATATGAGGTGCAAAATGTTGGACTAGAATTCATTTCTTTCATTGAATGCCCGATGTTCAGATCTAGGCACGTACGCCTTCCTCTCTTTCGTTTCTTCCACTATCGAAGAACAGATTACTGTGAGTCAAGAATTAAGAAAATGCAGTCTAGTGTGAAAGAACAAAGAAGATTCAACCAAGACAAGAACAAGGATTTCTTAAGCATCCATTTGTAGTCACCGATCAAGAAAGCATACAACATCATTTTACATGAACTTACATACGAGCATTAGATATTCATTATTAAATTAAAAGCATAGGAAAAGAAAAGTTTCGTTCTTCCTCTCTTGAAAATGTCTTTAAAATCTCTTCTGAAAAATCAATTGTCGTTGTTAAGGTTGTTTCCTTATAAACCTCAATCTTAACTTTCTTAGGACTTGTATACTAGAAAATTCAATTTAGTATTTCTAAAGTTTGTTCCACGAGGAACCTCATTCTTGATTTTCTTAGGACGTGTCTCCTAGAAAACTCAATCTTATCTTATTTAGGATCGTTTCTTTGAAAATCCTAATTTTATCTTTCTTAAAGACCTTTTGGCCTCTCATGAGGACTTTCCATAAGGAGTAAAGTTATGTATGAACCGCATTATCGCATTCATAAAGGCATTAATTTCATGCATAAAAAAATTACATATTCGAGATAAATATTATTTTACAAGTCTTTTAAGGAAAGCTAAATACCAACGATATTGAAACTTCAAAACAAAAATAACCAATTCAAAACCCCCAAGATTGAGGGGTTCAAAAGTCATTAGATTCAATGCATATTTTGATATCTATTGAATTTGAGATGAACTTCTACGAGAGAAATTGATTTTCAAACATTTCTCAAGTATTCGAACCTTCATGTATGATAGTTTCAATCTCCGAATACACACTAACAAGTTGTAGTATTTGATTTACAAATTTGGTCTTCCCTAAATAGTAGTGGAACATATTCCTTTTACAGATTTGATCTTCCAGAAGAGCAGTGAAGTAAATCAATCATTATTCAATTTTTTTGAAAAGCGATGAAATGGATTAAAATTTTCATATATGATTTCCCTAAAGAGTAGCGGAATATATCCCTTTTTTCAAATTTGATCTTCCTGAAGAGTAGTAAAGCAAATCAATCATGATTTAATTTTCCCTAAAGAATGGTGAAATGAATCAAAATTTCTAGATCTGATCTTCTTAAAAAGTAGTGGAGTAGATCTCTTTTTCCCAGATTTGATCTTCTTTAAGAGTAGAGAAGTAAGTCAACCCTAATCCTATCTTCTCTAAAGAGTAATGAAGTGAATCAAAATGTTCAGATCTGATTATCCTAAACAGCATTGGAGCATATCAAATCCGATCTTCCTGAAGTTGCAGTAAAACAAATCATTTTTTTCAAATTTGACCTTCCCAAAGTTGCAGTGAACCAAGTCAACCCAGATTTAACCTACCATGAACATGCAGTGGAGTGAATCAAATTGTTTCAATCTAACCTACCTAGAGTTGTAGTGAAGTAGATCACTTTTCAATTGACCTTCTAAACTTGAAGGGAAGCAAATTAACCTAGATTCAACCTATCCTGAAGTAACAAGAGAGTTTATTATTTCTCTAACATAAAAAATTGACAATCTTTTAGTCTTTGCTCTATTTTCATTGCACGCCAATAATCATTCCGTCATTCACATGTTGTACGTGTTTGTAGGAAATGATTTATTAAAATGATTATAAGTTTCATTGCTTAAACGTATTAATATGAGAAATCAATTATCAATTTTTTAGGGATATATTTTAACATAGTCTTTTAATTAGTATTTATTTTATTTTAGAATTTTAAATTAATTTTCTTTTGTTGATAGATGTTCATAATTATAATAGATATATCACAGTTAAAGTGTAATAAAATCAATTTGTGATACATTAATATTATTATATGTATTTTATGTTAACGTTGGTAATATTTAACATTCACTACAATTAATAATATTTATTTGTATCTATTATTTTTCTGAATTTTTTGTTAGATTTCTACCTATTTTGGAGAAGAGTTTCCCTTATATGGACGATAGGTTTTAGTTTTTAATTTTCTTTTATGATATACATAAAAGAAATTATATGTTTTTATTAGATTTTAATGTGTACATAAATCAAATAATATATAAATATATAAGATTTTTATTAAATTTAATTTTATCAAATATTATTTAAAATATTTTAAGTATGACATACACAAATCTTAGACTGTCGAGTGCTTTCATTACACAACTTACTATATTCTCACAACTTGTTTTATTATAAATGAAAATGACACTTGTATTATGAAATAAATTTACGATGCAACTAAAGCCCGCTGTTAATTATTCATATAGTTTTATCTTATCCTAAGCTAATAGGTATATTCTAATTAATTTTGTATAGTAATATTATATTTATCCATTCAAAGCAAAACCTGCTTATAAATGTTTTTTTTTTATGAATGAAAATTGAATTTTATTAATAAAAATAATAGAATATATCAAATTTATATCGCGTCTAAATAGAAAATTTAATACAATAATCACCAAAAAATTCATACATAAAATAATATTATTAAACTCAAAGGTACGAGAAAAAATGAAAGCTTCAAATTGAGAATGACGTCTAACATCAAAAGATCTCAATAGTCTTTATAAAACTCATTGTCTTTGTCGAACGAGACCCTTTATGATAGGATAAAAGAGTGATGAACGAACCAAATAATTTGACATACAGCTTTAGCAAACAATCTTTTATCAAGGAGGTGATTTGACAGTACTTTACCAACGATAAATCAATCAGAAAATAAATGTCGTGAGTATCTTAGTAAAAGCACCAATATGATCACAAATGTATGCCAAAAACTTACCAAAAACCACAAGGAACGTGTCACAATAGCAGAGAAAAAAAGTGCAACAAGTACATAGAAAATTTTGACACAATGAAAGAGATTCTTATTCTTAATTAGAAAAACTCGAGAAAAAAGAAAAACAATGGACATATTATAGAAAAGAAAAGAAAAATAATGATCATAAACGGCCGTTAAACAATACTAAAATTAATGTCATCGTCGGTAAAATAAAAATTAAAAAAAAAACAGAATGAATGTACGAAATAAAACTTAGATTAAGGGGTAGTAAAAGATAATCATAAATGCTTTTTTTTCTTGAATGTATGTCCACAGAACTTAGCCATGCTGCCATAATTATCACATGTAGCACATCTTCAAATATGAGCTGAATACATAAATATACTATTAATATTCCACAACGGTCCATTTAAATTAGATCTTTCACACCTATTTTTCTTTTCTTTTTATAAAAATATAGAGGCGTGCTCTAAAATTTTGATGTTTTAAATTATAGAAAACAACAACAATCTTTGACATTTTGAAAACAATTTAAAAGTTGGATTCTGCTTATATATTCATAAATATTATGTTTACTTTAACATGATCTAAAACATTTATACAACTAAATTTCATCCAAGCATCTCCAATTCTATTACCATTATTATTACAGTTATTTCAAGCATTGGCATTGTACATTTGTACTAAAACGATACAGGAGATTGACAAATAAAGCAAACATCATTAACTGGAACGACCCAAATTAGACCAAGTTCAAATCAAAGAATCCTTAATGGAAGATCAGCGTATCCGACCCGAGCTTTGTGTCTCTCGAAGAGATCATGCAGAGCTTTAACAAACTGGGCATGCACTTCAAGGACCTGTGAAAACATATTGATCAATGCATAATGGGATTTTGGCCCGTTCATGGAAAACAAATCACAAGGCGATGGCATTGTGCCAAGGTTCGATAAGCATGGATGAACTGAGGGAGGATGACGGGGATAGTCGTCTTTCTAAATATTTTAAATTCTCATATAATTTAGATATCTTATCTATATTTTCTATTGATGATCTATTTCCACCTTTAAAATTTTATAAGCTCAGCTCCCGACATAAAACCCTTCCTCTATCCCTAGCCACAAGGATCTTTCGTTCAAGCACATGCCTCTACTATACCAAGACCATCATAGAAGGTAACCCTAATTTTCCCGTTATTTGGATTGAACTTGAGTGATAAATACGGGTATGGGTCTGACACAGGCACCATTATGTTTTTCCTTGTATCCAAGATACGAGTACTTCCAGAAAATGAAAAATAAAAACGACATGTCTAATCTTATGGACATACGACCTCAAAAAAACATAACTATACTATGTCAAGCACATATATATATGTACTTCACACCCGACCCAAGTCTAAATAACATAGATTTATCCTTGTTTTTTAGCATCATTTACTCGCTAAGCAACATGCATTAGGCATTCGCGTAATAACAGCAAATTCAACCATTGAAACAGCAATACTCAGTTGGGAAACTTCTAAACGTCATGTAAAAGAAAATACCTCTTCGTTTGTAGGTTGGGAATTTTTCTTCAAGCTAATAGGCTTCCCAACCACCACATACATCGGATGTTGATAGGGTATCGGAGTTCTGCAAATAAAAACACAAAGGTATGTTTAAACTTCAAAGTTATGGATTTCAAACAGCACTTCCAAAGCCTTAGCCTTTTGTAAGAATTGTCTTTTAATCAATGGAAGCAGAAAACTTTCATTTTTGACATTCTTTCGAGCTTTTCGACTGTCTTGAGAATAATCTGAATGCCTTTAGTTTCCCTCCAACATCCATTACCATTGACACTCTTTAAAACCCCTTCCAAGTGACCAAAGTTAAAAAAAAATTGTGTTAAAATGTCTTATACATTAAATTATTAATTTTTAAGAGGGGAAAATATAACTTTTTTTTAACTAAAGGGGTAATAAGGATAAAATTCAATCAATAAATTTTCAAGGGACTGTAAATGAATTCTACCTTTAAACAAGGGGAGAAAAAAAATTCAACATTATTTAATTTCTTCTATAAAAAAATTATATGATTTATTATAATTCATTTTAAATCCATTAAAAATGTAAAAAGAATACTAAATTTATTTCAACACAAGAAGAAATGGGATCTTTAAAGTAAAGATGAAACCTTGGGGGCTTCAAATACAAACAATAATAAAATAAGGTGTCATGATATAATTATTAAATCATCAATCAAAAAAATTTAAACTTGAGGGATATGTGATCTAATTTACCTAATTTTAAAACTGACGGTAACTTATAAGAAGTATTTAAAACAAAACTGGGAGCAAGGCATAATTTCAAAATTGACAGTAACTTAAGAACCGTTTAAAAAAATACAAGTCGAGGCTTAACTTAGTTTTCAAACCACTAGGGACCTAAAGGGTATTTGAACCCAAAAACCCAGAGGGGAAAGGTTCAATTTGTCTAATTTCAAAACCACCAAAGACCTAACAAGTAATTAAACCCAAAATTCTGAGGAGAAGGCCCCACCCATCCTTCAATTAGTTTAATCCCGGTTCCTCTTCCTTATTCAGTAGAAAAGTCAAAAAAGATATACTGCTTTTCTTCTATTAAAATTTCTTTTATCATTTTTTTATTAATCTTTTTTTATTACGACTCTTTATTATTAAAATATAAAAATAATATTTTAAAAACCTTCAATTCAATAGTTTTAAAATATATATTTTATATAATTTAATTATTTAAAATATTTAAAATAATCGTGATTAAAATTTAAAAAATTTAAATTTAACAAAAATAAAAAAATGGGAAAGAACCAGTAATTAAGATGCATACCCAAAAGCTCCCCAAAATAGCATGGGGACGAACTTGATAGCCCTCGAAAGTTGGAGGACGAGCTTGCCACCAGGTTTCCACCACCTGTACGCATGTGACTGGCGCAGAAGAAAGAGTCAAGAGAACCAGATTCCAGTAGTGTAGAATATTGTTCAAGTAGTTAGGAAAAAAACAAAAACAAAATCAAGTACGGCAACCACAAAGGCCACGAAATAGTCGCTTAGCTTATCCTATATAGCTGCTTCAGGTAAAATGCATGAATAAAATGACGAAATATGTGGCAGGAAATGCTGAGATTAATGAATTCTGGCGCAGAGCGGCGTCGTTTACTCACTTGACCAAAGGCGAAAACTGGGACCAGTGGACACCCCATTTCCATGGCTATCCGAACAAACCCTCTTCGTTCCTTGAGGAATGCAACCTGTAAGATCCAAAAATTAAAACCAATTGCACGTTCTGGAACAAGAAGAGAGTTGAAGAATGAAACCTCAGAATCATGCTGCATGAGGAATGTCTCTTGAACTCCACCAGCCACTACAATACAACTATAACCATTTCCCAACAGGGAACAGAAGTTCTTCCTTGTGGCTGGTGAAGCACCCAACCATGTCCATAGATGCCTCAAAAATGGAGTGTAAAATACCTGTATTCATCCATTTATACCACCAAACAAGTTATGGCCAAAAGAAAATTGAGTAATAAAGTGCAGAGGGCGAAGGATTGTGGGCTTACGGGGCTCGAAGTAAGGCACTTCAGTTTGGGAAGAGGCATGAAACCTGTGCGTTCAGCCAACGTGACAACTCCGATCGGCAACACGGAATGCGGCTCGTAGCCGAAAACTGCACGCATTTACAAGCTAACATCTGTTATTTGCTCCACTCTTGCAAGCATTTTGTCGAGCACTTTGAAGTAAAGGTTAAAAGAAAGAAGACGAGACCGTAAGCGCAATCGGGATGGAAATCGTTGATGTCCTCAACGTGGAGAGTAGTGGGAAAATAACTGGCCATATGCCTACATACATACCTGTTCATTTCAAGCATGATTATTTGTTGAACTTACAATTAATGAAAACAACAGAGATAAATAAGAGATTAGAACAGTAAAAATGGCTGTTACCTGGCCAACCTCAGCCCAAATCTACTGTTTTCATCGATCGGAAGAATTACGAAACCCGCGAGGATTCCAACTACCCTGGAGATATTGAATAAAATAAAGACATGAATTTCTGTCATTTAAATTCTTTCCTTTTCTCCAACAAGAAAGTAAAGTAATATACTTAGATTAGAGGAAGGGGACGAACAAGAGAAATTTGGAGAAAGGAAGGAAGATGAGAGAGAAAAGGAGGACGGAGACGTTGAAATGCATAGATCCAATCCACAGCGCACAAGCTAATGTTCCGTGCAAAATGTTCGACGGGAATTCATGCCTTCCACTGAATTGCCGATACCCAGGTCCAGGCTTAAACGTCTGTTTACCCGCCCTATCTTCCGCCATCTTCCGACGCAGAGGACCTAATCTCTACCGCTTGTGAAATATGCCCTTCTCCTCTATATTCTGGTTTAACTAACACCACATATTACACACGACACTTCACTCCGCTATGCTTCCCTCTTAATTTATGCGGAGACGACGAGATGGACATGATTAAAAATATTGTTTTAAAATAAAGGGTAAACTACACCATTTCTCATTGAACTATACTCTCTCCTATTTTACTCACTATACTTTCAATTTTTCTAAATTACTTACTGAAACTTTCGAATTACTCATGTTTTGGTCCTTTTGAATTATTTTATTATTATTTTTGTATGACATAACATTTTTTATTATTATATAATATAAAATAAAAACAAAAGGTTGTCGGATACCACTATCGACCGTCGTAGATGGTGGTCGTTTGGTCATAAATTTCATAGGTCAATTCATCTCGACCCCCTAAGTCCAAATCTGGTGGTTGTTTCACATGAAAATGTCCCAAAAGTCATGAATATCGACCGAAACATTTATGCTTCCTCAATTTCATCCTCTAATTCATGGACTTCGAAGCAATTTCTAACAAAACGGAGGTCGGATTCGGACTCAAGGTGTCGAGGCAAAACAACCCATGAAATTTGAGACCGAACGGTCACCATCTACGACAATCAATAGTGGTCGATGGCGGCATCCAACCACCTTATATTTTTATTGTATATTTTAAGTTATTTTATATTAAAGAATAAAAAATGAGTAAATTAGAGAGTTCATGGGGCAAAACAGGGGACAATTCGAAAGTTCAGTGAGTAAATTGGAAAAATTAAAAATACAATGAGTAAAATAAGAGAGAGTATAGTTCAATTAGGAATTGTATAATTTATCCTAAAATAAAATATTATTAAAGATTACGACACTGATAAATTTATGGGTCAAATCCATGTTTAGTAATCCAACTATTATTTTTATTCCTTTCTGGTCATATAATTATTTTTTCCTAATCATACATAATGTTATGTTTTGGTTTCTCTTGATCACTTACCATTAAAAATTAACAAAACTATTGATGTTGTATTTTTCAATAATTACGTGACATTTCCTTATGATATCACATCAGCATCATCGTTAATTTTTTAACAATATGAAACAAAATGAAATCAAAGCTAAACATTATGTAAGATTTTGTGGGGGGGCAATTGGATGATGAAACATAACAAATGTAATAGTTGATATACTAAATGTGTAGTTTACCCATGAATTTATTTTAAAAATATCATTTTATTTATATTTATTTATTATTCAGTTATATTATGGGTGTAACAAAATTTAATTGTGTACTTTTTTGATTAATTAATATCATAAATTAATTAAATATATTTTTTGGATTAAACTAATGTTATTATAAAGTAGTATTTGTTCTAAATACTCTCAACTATTTTACAATAAATGTATAATCACTCTGTTGCGGTCGTTGGTACTCAAACACGTGACCTCTAAAAACAATAACGATTCCTTTAATCACTAAAATAAGTTGATTCGTGTATAAATTACATCACGTGCATAACGAGACACACCAAAAATCACGAGAAACACGCCTATATAAGACGTCGTCAACCACATACCTCTTGTTTTTTTCATTATTCATTCACTTTTTCAAGGGTAAATTAGTTCAATATTGCAATTTGCGTTTTTATTTTTGAAAATATTGCATCTTCCTTTTTATTTTCCAATTTATAGCAAAAACTACAGTAATTTTGAAGACTTACCGAAAGCATGGCATCTTCATTGTGTAGTGTCCGCTAATTGTGAGTACTAAATATGGGTGCGGAAGTATGTGCAAGTATACACAATTGAACAAGTAATATAGTGATGAGTGAGTATCGTCTCCACAAGGATTGGAGGAAATTGATAAGTTTGGTCAAAGCACTTTACTATGTCACCTAAGTAAAGTTAGTGATGTTATTTGCAAATGAAAATATTGTGGCAAAATGAATGGATGTTATGGAAATTGTCTGATGGTAATATGGTAGCAGATTGAGATGTTATGGCAAATTGGATTGTGAGTAGTGAAATCAAATAAAAATGTAAAGGCAAAATAAACTGTAAATACTGGATTTGCTTATAAGGACTTTAGACTCCTCACACGACAAGCTACTATGGGAATGAGTGATAGGAGTTACTTAGGAAAATCTAAGTCTACTTCTCAGAATTGTCTTACTTCTATGCTTTATCTGCTCGACAGAGATTACTAAGGGTGCCCTATGCTATCTCTAGTTAAGGGACTCGACATATTGAAGATGTCTTGGCAAAATCGATTGGTGTTAGCTACTGCATGGATCTTATTGGTCCATATAACAGGATATGTCTTGGCAATACCTTTTTGCGGCAGCATTAACATCTAACCTATCGATTGTGCACTACTCCTTTTAGTCGAATGAAATCATAGCCTTATCTCTAAGGTGAATTAGGCCTAGTTACTATCTAGAACCCATTGCTTATGTGGTTCCTCCCTAATTTCTCTCGAATACTAAGGATGTGCTACTTAGATATTCTCTCAAACACTAAGTAATCTCCTAAGGAACGACTACTCTCGCAGCTCCTACAACCTTAAGGCACTAAGCTTCATAAACAAAACAAAATATAACATAGAAAAATAATCATTCATTAAAGCAAAACTTAAATATCCAAAATAAACTCCCACCAAATAGGATTAGTTCACGGTGGGGTTCGAAATAAGCAAGCACAAAGCAAGTTAATTCGTTCCTTACAACCCAAATAATAAATAACATAAGCAAAGAGCAAAGGGAATGAGGAAAAGCCTTCGACGTGCACTGCCGGAGCTTCCCTCGGCCACCACGAACTGTTCTAGCAATCTAGCTCCTCTCGAACGCCTAGTTCGCCACTCCCTCTAGCTTGTCAACGGAGGAATACCACAACAAAAACGATTGATCAGAAAAAAGAGAGATCTTTTTCTCCGAATTTTTAGGCTCTTGGCGACTGTCTAAAAATCTCAAAGTCTATCCAAAAAGTCTGGCTTCATCTCCTATTTATAGGGGAGAATGAACCTAGGGTTTTGTATTAAAATTACCCTAGTACCCTAAAATTTATTCATTTTATATGAAAGTCGGTGCATAGGTGATAATGGGTCCCTCCTATATGACTGATTGCAGAAATCACGTATAGTCAATGACAACTAGTACTTACTAAAAATATCTTCTTTGACTTTTTTCTGCCCAGAAATATCGTCCGAGTTGTCGCGACAATCGCATTTTGCTCAATATTCTCATCATGTCATGGCAATTCATTTTTGCTTATCCTTGCTCCCAAATCCTGCACATCATCAAACAAACACCTTCCCCATAAAGCAACACTAATTACAAAATAAAATGTCTTGGCAAACAGAATTCCACCACATGCAATTATATGCTCCTAAATGCATCTATATGATCCTGTATGAGCTTTTAGACAGTCAATAAATTAAGTGAAAAGGTCCTAAATATGACATTTTTACAGAATTATCATGTAGAGGAATTATTTTGAATAAAAAATAGGACGTCATGCATACATGAAGTCTTCAATATTCATTTAAAAAAAACTCACCTGGATGACATGCACACATGGCGTATTTACTGTGCTTATATTAAAAAATGAAATGGCAAGCTTTTAAGACGTCTAAAATGTATATGTTTTGAATTTCAAATTCTTGTAGGGCCAACACGCGACCAGCAAAGCATAAAAGGACATACGCTTTAATTATAAAAACTGCAAGGCAATATTAAACCTAGTAAAATAAATTGTGTAGGGGTAGATGATAGATGAAATTGAAGATGGAGTGTGAGGAAAAAAATTGAGTGAAGAAAAAAGAGCAAAAGAAAAGCAAAAAAAGTTTGGTGAAAATGTAATAAGTTAAATTTTGTATTTTTATTTTTATTTAAGTAATATTATATTTTCATTTTTATTTTAAATTTTTAGATTGTATATTGTTGATATATTTTAGTAGATTTGGAGTAAAAAATAAAGATGAAATAAGATTTGGAGTTTTGGTATATTATTGGTTCAAACAATTAAGTTGGCTTAGTATATTAGTTTTGATTTATGTATATTTGTTTTGAAATAGTATATTTGTTTTGATTTATGTTTTTTGATTCAAAATATATATGTTTTTGAATTTGCAGAGAAAATGAGCGATAAGTTTTTAGTTTTTGGCCATTACAATAGATAAATTTTGAAAAGTGAGGTTGGGGTTGTATTTGAATCTGATAGCCCTATGAACATGATGTTTAAAAGGGAAATCACGCTTCAACAATTAAAAGAGATGATAAAAAACAAAATTGGAACTGATATTAGTGGTTTGCGGTACATGTGGATGACATGCTACAATTCAGTCAGATATTTTGCAATATCTCTTCGAGATAATAGTGATGTTGGAAGCATGATTGCAATATATGAATCAACAAATACTCAACTTATTAAGTTATATCTTGAGGAGCGCGAGATATATGATGTTATCGGTTCATCCATAAACGTACCTGGAAATCCATAAAAAATAGGTTTTGGCAGTAGGAGACCGATTGCATTTAATCTGTATGGTTGCCCTTCGACATACGCACATATTGATCCAAATGTTGATATTAACGTTGAAAACCTTCAATGTCGATTGGAGAAACACTTTTCGATTATAGCAATGATGATAAAGATGATAATGATTTAATTGGTGATGACCTTGGTAATAACCCTATTTTCGACGATGATGAATTTACTTATAATAATGACGCAATTACATTCTATGAACCTCCTATTCACATGAACTTAATAGATTACGATGCGATGAAGGCGTCTGGATTTTTTGATATGGCTTCGGGTAGCTCTCATGACAAATCAATTAGGACGCAATTTAATTAAAAAAAGGAAGTTGAATTGGCAATTAAAGAGTATTGTATCAAAAGCCACGTGAACTTCGTTGTTGTAGAATCTAGTCTGAGAATTTTGTTTGCAAAATGTGTTAAATATGGAGAAAAGTGTAATTGGAAGATCCTAGTGTCTAAAATTCAGAGAAAAAGGGCCAAGGCAATCACAAAGTACAATGACGATCACATATGTTTATGAAGTTCCATCCAACAATACA